AGATAGATAGATAGATAGATAGATAGATAGATAGATAGATAGATAGACAGACAGACAGACAGACAGACAGACAGACAGACAGACAGACAGACAGACAGACAGACAGACAGACAGACAGACAGACAGACAGACAGACAGACAGACAGACAGACAGACAGACTGTAGTTGGTTTTAAATAAAATCCTTAAAACACAAAATAAGTCTCGGTTTGTCAAGCTCAAGGCCCATGGGCTAAATCTCACCCTTCTTAATTAACGTCTTATCTGGCCCCAAGATGATATTTAAAATGTAAAATATTTTTATTGCGTCTATGTTTACTTTATGGTAAACATTTCATTTAGTGAATACTTCCTGTGACCGTTAGTGAACACTGAAGGCAGAAAAAGGTTGGATTCTTCAGTAATCTGTGATTTTGATTCAAGGATTCAAGGTTCTTTAATTGTCATTCGCACCACATGTGGTACATGTGGTGGAACAAAACTGTGTACACAGTGTCCCAGTTACATCCAACAAAAGTATAAAATGTAAAATAAAAACAGTAATAAGATTTAAGATATGAACTAAGAAAAATGTTAACTAAAAACACACTAAGCACTAGTAGCATAAAAACAATATGCTGAACAGCAGCACGAACATGAGTGTTGGTTTTAAGTAAAAGTGAGTAAAACATAGAGTGATTGTCATGGATTGAAAAAAACACAAAAACTTAAAAACACAAAGTAATACTCGGGTTTGTCAAACTCAAGGCCCATGGGTCAAATCTGGCCCTTGTTAACGTCTTATCTGCCCCAAGACGATATTTAAAATGTCAAATATTTTTATTGCTTCTATGCTTACTTTCTGGTAAATATTTCATTTAGTGAATACTTCCCATGACAGTTAGTGAACGCTGAAGGCAGAAAAAGCTCTGACTCGTCAGTAATCTGTGATTTTGATGTGAAATGATCAGCAGAAAATGTTGATTGAGATCGATCGAACTCTTAATGATGAGCCTGATGTCATTTGTCTGACTGGAGTTCATGTAGTGACTGAAACTGGCCACAGCGACACGTCCAAAGCTCACCTAAGCTTTCCTCCAACATAAAGATGCATTTTATATTGTATTTTTATCCTGATGTTGCTTCAGGAAACATAATCTATGTAGATGCTCTGATTAAAGTAAAACGTAGGAACATTTGATATTTTTTATGTTCGGTCGTCAGCTCTTTTTTCAGTTTCTGTGAAACAATCTCCTTCCAGGATGACAGTTCGGTGAGCAGCGAGGACATGAACATCGCTGAGCCCACGTGGGTCACAGCTGAGCAGCCGGCAGTGCCTGAGTCGAGCCCCCCCAGCGGGGAAAGAGTGAGCAACCAGCCCACCATCGTAAAGGAGGAGGACGGTGAGACGTTTACATCTGGAGCTCCAAGAGCTCACAACAGATTGTGGTTAGGCAGGAAACAGCTTGTCTCTTTCTTAGTGGACTAATCCAGCTGGGGCCAGCCTCAATCCACTGTGCCCCCACAAACCCCGCCCTTACAGGGAACAGGAACTAGGACAGGGGCCTTCATTAACCCTCACAGATTAATACGAAGATTCAAAATGGGACAAATTGTCTCCCAGCCTGGACTTTATGTGGCAGATGTAATGAAATCAGTACATTTATCACAGAGGGACGGGTAGCTGCCCCTCCCCCATCCGCCCCTCTTCATCCTCAATCTTCTCTTTTTTCTACAAACTCCCAGCATTCCCTTCTTCCTCCCTAACTTTTATTTGTCTTGACAGCTGACCCCAATGCACACTTTCTCCATAACATAGAGGAAGAGGCCGGGAGAGCCCCCCTCCCTGCAGTAACCCCCCTCCTCCTCTGGGATTATGCTTATTGTAGTAAACAAACCTAAATGGATGCTGTAACATGACAGAGCATCCACGTATCTCATCCCCGTGTCTGTCTTTGTCCTCTGCCAGATGATGACTCCTCCGAGAGCAGCAGTGCCCACGGGGTGCCGGCCCTGACCTCCCCCGAGGTGCTGCCTGTGAACCCCACAGATGGTGGGGCCTCCTACAGGGAGGTGACAGAGAATGGGCTGAGCGCTCCCTTAGACTTTAGCACCACCTCGTCGTCCTCCTCAGAGGATCAGCAGCCCGTCAATCTGAGCGACAGACTGCTGCCGGCTGGGAGCTCGCCACCAAACTCCTACCCTGCAGACTCCAACAAGAAGTTCCCCCTGAAAACAGAGTTCACCAACAAGGTAAGGACAGACGACCGGCACATGTCAGAACGGCAGTCAGAAATAACAATAGCCCTTTGTGTGTTCAGTCGCCTCCTTACAGCTCAGGAAGCTATGACTCTGTGAAAACTGAACTGAGCATGAGCGTAGAGGACTTGACCTCCGCGCGAGCACAGATCATTGATGACGACGATGACGAGCACGACGAGCACGATGACAGCGACAAGATCAACGACGCTGAGGGGATGGACCCTGAGAGACTTAAAGCCTTCAATGTAAGGGCTCATCTTCACCAGCCTGACAGATCACCTCTTTAGTTCTTGGTGTAGAAAGATCAAGAATCAATCCCAGAGTTCTCTGAAATGTTTTTATGTGTCTGAACTCTTATTCTATTTCCATTTCCATCCCCCCGTTATCATCTCCACCCCCTACCTCTTTCAACTTCTCTTTCACTCCCCCATCCTCTGCACCATTCATTCCCATTCTTCTGTTTTGACTACCCCCCCCCCCCCACCCCCCCCACCATTTATTCTACTCTACACCGCCCATCTACCCTTCCCCCCCTCTCTCCGGGTCTGTCAGATGTTCGTGCGTCTGTTCGTGGATGAGAATCTGGACCGCATGGTTCCCATCTCCAAGCAGCCCAAGGAGAAGATCCAGGCCATCATCGAGTCCTGCAGCCGCCAGTTCCCAGAGTTCCAGGAGCGCTCCCGCAAACGCATCCGCACCTACCTCAAATCCTGCCGCCGCATGAAGAAGGGCGGCTTCGAGGTACAACCTTCACCTCACGGCTTGATGGTTATTTCTTTATCAGTCACACGCAAATTTAAAAATAAGCATGTGACCAGCAGATACGACCAACTCCTCCTCACCTCACCTCTGCCATGGCTGAGAACATCCTGGCAGCCGCCTGCGAGAGTGAAACTCGAAATGCTGCCAAGAGGATGCGTCTCGATGCCTACCAGGCGACGGTAAACGTCTCAGCAGTGCATGAATGTGCACACGAGGGGTTTGGGAGCCCCCTCGACCATCAACGTTTCAATAACAAGAGCGTGCACTACATGAAACAACATGTTGTTCTTTCAGGACGAGCTCGCCTCCATCGACAAACCCATCACGAGGGATCCGACCTCTGTTACGCCATCGGGGTTCTCCATTTCCAGCGCAGCTTTTGCTCAAGACCAACTCTACACCAACGGAGGCCTCAACTACAACCTGCGGGGGTACGGGACCGTTGGCAGCAACCAGCAGAACTCCGGTGCCGCCCAAACCAACGGTGAGTCCGAGCTAATGAAACTGCACGTCTGAGGAAAGGCCTTTGAAAACACCAGAGGAGGAAAAAATGAGTCTTCAGTGCATCGTGGTCCAGAAAGAGACTGAAATCATATTTTACTTACAGACTGTTTGAACGCACTAGCTGAAACTTTCAGTTTATTTCATAATAAAAACCAGAATATACACTTATATTTGTTTGTAACAACATGCAAGGGCAGAAGTTCCCTTCTTATTGTGTGTGTGTGTGTGTGTGGGGGGGGGGGGGGGGGGGCTTAGGATACAGTGTTGTATTACAGTATTGATGTAAAATGAAATGAAAATGAAACATTCGTCAGCGTGGTCACCAAGACAAGAATAGACAAGCTGCAGAAACTAACAGGAGCACTGAACGTCTTCCTCCACCCGCCCCGCGCTCGATTCACTTCCTGTTCCAACGGTCACATGACCGTCAACAGCAACTTCCTCTTTTTTTTTTTTTTTTTTACAAAAAGATAAAACCATTTAAAATATAGGAACATGTTTCTAAACATCTGTCATGCATCAATACACAATGATAAAATAAAAAAAATGAATCACGACCGCGGTGAGACGTCTGCGGTGCTCCGGTGTTGCCATGGAAACGCGCAAACTAAAACTCCGCTGAGGTCAATAAATATTTTAAAGCTGTCACTCTGCAGGTGGAGGATGCTGAGAAACCGTGAACGTACATCAGATATGGATGCAGTTTTCTGTCTAAAGATTGTTTAGAAATCGTTTATTGGGTTTGACTTTCTGTTTGTGATCATTAACTGTCACTGATCTGTAGCCGTTTTAAACATTTTAGAACTGTAAATAAATACATCTTGTACTGTACATGTTTGTCAACAACATGTTGACAAACAGAAAAGTTGAAATGAAACAAGATCTATCGATCCTACTCATCACAGATCCTTTAAACATATGAAACATATTAAACATATGAAACATATTAAACATATGAAACATATTAAACATATGAAACATATTAAACATATGAAACATATTAAACATATGGAACATATTAAACATGAAACAATAGTAACTAATGAAACAAATTATTTAATCCTAATTTACAGTTGAAATGTTTGAGTGTTTGCTGATGATGTAGACGTTTTCAGACTAAGACTTCAATGAACTGGGATTTATATTTGTTCTTTTATATTTATTTTGCTGTTACAGCTTAAATTAGATTTAAGCTGTACCCCCCCCACCCCCCACACACACACACACACACACTCACACACACTCACACATTACAGTAAACAATCCTGCAGGTCCTTCATGAGTTGGGGGCTGATAAGTTTTAATATAAATATGGGTGCTACTACATTTGAACTTTTCTTGCTTAGTTTGGTTTGCAGCCTTTTATCATGGCTGTTGTAGCTCTGCAGCACTATGCTCAGTAGGATGGAGGTCTGGGCTTTGACCGGACCAGTCCAACACATTCCACTGGTCCTTCGGAACCCTCTGGGGGCTTCAGCCGGGAGTTTAGGGTCATTATCTCATCCCAGTCTCAAGTCTGTAAGACCAAAAGTTTTCTTGTAAGAGTTTATTTATATTTTGCTCCCTCCACTTGTCCTTGAGCTCTAATGAGGTTCCTAGTTGCTTCTGCTGAGAAACAGCCCCACAGCAGGGAGCTGCCGCCCCCGTGCTTCGTGCAGGGAAGGTTTGCTCCCGACGTGTCCTCGATGGACCAAACGTTAAGTTTCTGTCTCGCCTGACACGTTTCTCACTGAACGTTCTTCTTTCACCTCACAGGTCCCACAGATCTGAGCATGAAGTCTGTCAGCACAAACTCCTCCTCCTCAGCCAACAGCCACGGTCAGGGGAGCGGCGGGGGCGGGGCTTCGGCCCAGCTCAGCCCCCCGGAGGTGACAGCGGTGAGGCAGCTCATCGCTGGCTACAGAGAGTCCGCAGCCTTCCTGCTGCGTTCTGCAGACGAGCTGGAAAACCTGATCCTGCAGCAGAACTGAGCCAAACCGTGCCAAACAACCCTCTCCCACACGCCCCCCCAGCCTGTCCATCTCAGTCGCTCTCAGTGTCCCACACATCCGAGCAGACGTCCACACACAAAGACACAATGGTACATGAGTGATACTTCAGTGACTGCTGTAGGTGTGCTACCTTGACTGACCCCCCCACGTTTCTGTGACCGGCCCGGACTCATCACCGGCTGAACGACGTTTATTGATGCATCTGGTTCTCTTTGACCTTAGTGCCCTGTTCTGTGTAGCCATTCATCCCGTCCGCTTCATTTATGCCACTGGAAACCTCCATTTGTCTCAGGAAGTGACGATGGGCGTGGAGGAGATGACGTGCACAGACTGAGGCGTTGAGTTAGCAGAAGCACCGGAACAACACCGGGTTAGTGTGATCGTTACTGTTTCTGATGCTGTACGGCAGCGGCTCGCTTCGATTGGGCTGTCTGAACCGGGTCGTTTGAGGAATCGCTGCTAAAACATGTGACAGCCACCGTCAACCTCAACCGATACCGACCGACTTACAGTTCTGCCAAAAAAAAAAGGTATGAAATACGTAAAAGACAAAAGACAATTTTTGACCAGAAGAACGCATCGATCAACTTGTGGTCAACTTCTGCCTCGTTAAATATTACTGACAGTTTTCCTTTAAGACTCGTTGACAAAACAGGCACTTTTTTTTTTTGGTCTGTTTTTGTTATTTTCAGGTGAAATAGGCCGATTGTCATTACTTAAAAGGCTTTTAAGAAGTGTGGGTATGCAAACCGAGGTCACAGGCGCCTGTCAGGGAATAAAAACTAAATGCTTGGTTTAAAACCAGTGCTACTAGAAAGTGGGCAGAAAAAGGGTGCAATAGAGAATTTAATTAGCAACGATTAGTGAAAACAGCAGTTGACCACAATGATCTCCTGCTGGAGAAGAATCCCTCGCAGCATTGTAGCCAGTTTCAGTTGTTGACCTCAGAGCTGAGGCTCGTCCTCGTGTTGGGTTACTAAGGAAATGGGACCCGGCACATAATGACTCGTGATGTTGCACGTCTTGTTTACTTCAACACGTCGTTTGGAGGATTATTCAGTTCAAAAGTGCTGAGTGGGTTAAAAACAGGCACAGAGAGAAGTTGAAGAGCATCTGCTGCTGCCAGACGAACGAATGCAGAGTGAGGGCACAGACAGGATGAGCAGACGACGTCCACTCATGCCTGTCTGTCTGTCTGACCGTATGTTTGTCTGTCTGTCTGTCTGTCTGTTTGTCTGTCTGACCGTATGTTTGTCTGTCTGTATGTTTGTCTGACCATCTGTCTGTCTGACCGTCTGTCTGTCTGTTTGCCTGTCTGTCTGTCTG